CCTAAAAGCCTCTTGCCCAATGTGGCTCACTGAGTCTGGGATGGTCAAGCTCACCAATGAGCTGCAATTTGCAAAGGCCCAATTCTCAATTTGGGTCACTGAGCTCGGGATAGTCAAGCTCACCAGAGAGCTGCAATGCGCAAAGGCATGGTCTCCAATGTGGGTCACTGAGTCCGGAATGGTCAAGTTCACCAAGGAGCTGCATCCATAAAAGGAAAAATCATTAATTTGGGTCACTGAGTCTGGGATTGCCAACTTCAGCAAAGAGCTGCAATTCGCAAACGCCCCGTTCTCAATTTGGGCCACTGAGTTGGGGATTGTCAAGATTTGCAAAGAGCTGCAACCGTCAAAAGCACAATGCCCAACATGCATCACGGAGTCTGGGATGGTCAAGTTCGTCAAGCTGCAAAACTGAAAGGCATAATCACCAATATGAGTCACTGAGTTGGGGATGGTCAAGTTCACCAAAGAGCTGCAATTCTGAAAGGCTCCATACGCAATGTGCGTGACTGAGTCCGGGATGACGACTTTGGCCACCAGATCGCAGTCTTGGAAGGCATGAGGGGCAATTCGAGTTTCATCGTCTGGGATTTCAACCACCAGCAAAAGTTCCAAGTCAATTTGACTGCGAAAGCTGGCGATGGCGATTGCACCCTTTCCGGAGCATCTCACTCGGTTGGCTTTGAAGACAACACTCACAGAAGCGTCTGCCGCAAGGCCGGCATCTGCCATCGTCTCTCCATTCCCCAGCAACCTGTCTCCAACAACAATCTCAACCGCAGTAGTGCTGCGGGTTACGTCGTCCCAGGTCTGCTGTCGTTCTTTGATCTGCAACTTCAGCTCTTCTCCTGTGGTCTCTGGCGTCACTTCAAGAAACGTTTTCTCACCATTCACCTGCAGTGCTGAAATGGTGATCGCCATGGCTAAGTTGCAATCACTCCAACCGGAGGTCAGCTGATTTGTCAACTTTGATCGCTAAAAAATATTGCATTTATATAGAGTTCTATGGTTGGTGCCAATCATGGAAGTTGACAATGGCCCCTTGAGAAAACAACTGTCCTATATATATATATATAACACAAAAAAATATCCTTTCAAAAAAACACATACATACATATACACGTATACATCTACTTATACATACACATATGTACATATGCCTATACCTATACCTATACATATACATACATAATTACATAATCATACTGTTACATGTGATGATACACAAAAAAAGAAAAACAAAACAACAGGCATATGTTCACGTCCATGTTCGCCAGAGGAGAACAAAGAAAAGATAAACAACCCATGTCAACATCACCAGTCACACCCGTCGGGCCAAGCACGTAGTCACACGTCAAGCTGTCAACCGATACTTGCAACCACTTATTGAGCTTTTTCCCTATACACCCCTGCTATCTGGGGGGAGGAGCATGGCCCAATTCCATCGACACATCGACGGCTGTTCGCTCTGGAGGATCTCCTGGCTCCCAGCGCCCAGCGCGACGTGCTTTCGAAGCGACGACGAGCTTAGCGACGACGAAGCGACGACTGTCGTCATGGAAGCCTTCCACACGGCCCTGAAAACGGCCCTAGCGGCTACCCCGTTGAGAAATGTGCAAATTGCAATTTCCAGGGTTCGCCTTTGGAACTCTCCCATCTCTCCCTCTCCAATCCAGCTGGGCTCCTCTTTCGGCTTGGCCTCCGGCTGGGTGTCGGCCTGATGCTCCAGCAGCATCTCAAGCTCCAGCTCGCTCCGGACACTTCGGCTGCCACCCTGCAGCGGCAGCCGGTGTCTCTGCCAGACGCGTTCCGCGTCCTCGTGCACGGCCAGCGAGGCCTGAAAGTGGGGGGCTTCACAAGCATTGCCCCACGGCTCGTCTCCGAAGACCCTCAAACACCATCGCATCAGACACCTGGATTCCATTGGATCCCTGTAGATGTGTCGGAACCCAAACACTACGAACGGCGCGCGGAGAAAAAAAAAACGAGCCTTCCCCAGGACTTCTTCATGAGAAGCACTGATGCTCATCACTTGCAACTCCAGACTGCACGGCTCATGTAGCTGGAAGGTATGCTCATTGTCTTCCTTTATTGGCGCGGCTGGAAACTCGGCACCCGGGCGCACCCGGGCGACCGGGTGCGGAAGCACCCGTGCGACCGGGCGACCGTTCCATTGGGGTTCGTCTTGGAATCCATTGAAGCCGGCCACAAAAGGGTTTGAAGGGACTTACTGTAAGAAACAACACGTTATAACACAAACATACCAAGCACGAGCGCCAAGGTATAGATGCCCCCATTTGTCCGAAAGAAACTGGTGGGGGTTGACCCCAGCTCTGATGCTTGAGCTGGAGATGTTGACCATCTCCCCGCTTCATCTTTCGAAGTCTTGGCGCCGGTGTCAGGTGGATGGTGTCCCATCTCGCCTCCACCTATGCTATAGCCGAGCTCTATATCGCTCTTCCTGCGCCGGAGCCACACAGCTCTCGCCGCGCCGGTGCACGCGCTCCGTCGCGGCCGGGCCGCCGTCCAGACACAGGTCGCCTCGCGCTCCACGCAGCAGGTGCGAAAAATCTGCCGCTGCACGCGCGCCGCCACGTAGGAGTCAGCCAGATCGCCCGTGAGGCCGGTGCTCTGAAGGGGCCTCGGAGAGTGGTGAGATGGGCCGGTGGTGAGATGGGCTGTGGGAAGGGCTTGGGAGGACATGGACCGGAAATGGAGTGAACACGACTGGATTCTGAGAAGGTTGGCTGGATGGGCGCAAGGGTGAGTGTCTCCCTGTGTGGTAGGGCATCATCCCTCAAGATGCTCTGCTTCAAAACAACGCAGTCATCCGACAAGCAAGCCCCGCAAGTGTCTTGGCTGCAGTATTTACAACGTGACGTTCACTCCAACATACCGCTGCTCATGTGGCTTTCGGCCGGACACTCCCATTCACCTCATTTGGAGTGGGCCACACCCGGAACATCCTTAAGGGCGTCCACATCCGGTCCACATCCGGTCCAGGGTGTCCACATAGGTTCGCTCCGAAACCGCTGCTCTCGGGACCGGTCGTTGACATCTTGGGCCTTTTGGACATCTTGGGCCTCCGAAACTCTGGGAGAAATGCCATGGTAGTTGAAACGAACCAAGTCCATGGCTACCCAACGAAATCAGCTTTGGATGCCCTTTGATTCTAAAGCTGACCATGGCTACCATCTGGTAGGTCTAAGATTCCCATCCCAACAAGGACAATTCAGGATCCACCATGAAACCCATGCTGGGCCAGCACTCCAAATGAAAAAGCTTGGGAGCGCGCCCCCCTCTTGATGGGCGGCTTGTCGCCCCCGTCGCCCCCCAGCACTCAGCTAAGGCACAGGTTGTAGGCCTTGAGAATTCGCACTCTCCTGGGGTTGAGGATCAGGGTAGGTTCTTCTGAGGCCTAGAACAGTAGAACAGTAGGCCTATTCACTTGTTGAGTGAATCAACTTCACAAGTAGGTCAGAATGAGGGCAACTCCCTTTCTGCAACAGGAGCGCCCCGCAAACCTCGTCTTCTCAGCAAGCACGGCCTCTACCCAACTTCACCCCGTTCCATCAGCAAACCTCCAGTGACCTGCTCTTGCCTCCCTGACTGCCCCCTGCCCAGGCTCCAACTCACGCCAGGGCTCAAATACTTCGGCCCCACCGCCCTCTGCAAAGGCGAGGTCGACTGGGGCGAGGCCGCACCCAGCGGCGATGGAGAGGCGAGCTCCGCGTAGGGCCTGGCACCAGACCGACGGGCCTGGCCCGTAGAAGGGGTACATATTACATATTTTGGGGTCTGTGTTAGTATACACACACATTTAAAAAAAAAATATATATATATATATACATACATACATGACATGACATGACATGACATGACATGACATGACATGACATGACATGACATGACAT